GCGGCTGCGTGGGGTTAAACCACGACATCTGGCAAAAATGAAAGTGCTGATTAATACATTACCCCACTGCTGTCTTTAGCATTCATGGAAAAGTAAATTATTTTCTATACTAGAGTCTTAGGTATCAAGTGAGAATAATCAGTGAATGCTATTTTAATTTTCAGTGCTCATACATGACACTTCATCTCAAGAAAAAACAGAGAAAATAAAAGTACATTGCAGTACCCCTTAAATCCCTCTCATACTTTTTTATACTCATTGCAAAGATACGAACAGGTTGTAGTGTTCTTGTTCTAGTTCATATGAGCTGAAGATTTTGGGCAGCCTACATCCTCTCTAGCTCCATCGCTCCAACTGTTTCAGTTTAGCTATTGACTGTTTGCAGTAGAACATATGTCACTGAAATTATCAGAGCTCAGTATTTTCCTTTTTTCTTATGTTCAACATAAAGCTGTTAACAGCCTACTCAAACTGTTGTGCATAGCTTCCAGTTTATACTTGGTTTAGTGTGATTTCTCTTCTGTTAGAGGATTTTTGAATGAGAAGTTAGTTCTTTGAAAAAGGGAAGTATTCATGCTGAATTTGCTCTGTGCTGGGAAACAGTCATATGAATCACTTATTTTCTACTCTTCATATTAAAATATTGTAGTCTTACATAATCTAACTTTCAAAGAGCAACGTGAATATGGAGGTTTAGAATTTTAGATGAGCATGCAGTTGGTATTTTAAACAGAAGCAGCATCCAAAATTTCTGGTACAGAAAAACATATACGTGTGTGTGTATGTATGTAGGTACATTTATATAGGTATATATATGTGTGTGTGTGTTTGTGTGTATCTACATATAAAGTACAGATCCTAAGGTGTGGGGACAGGAAATATTGAAGAAAATTATTACTGTAACTCTGATGTAGTTATATTGCTTTCAAAAGAAGGAGATAGTAGCAAACAGTTAAAATCTCTGTCTCTGTTTTTAAGGTCTATGTCTGGGGTTACAATGGTAATGGCCAGCTTGGACTGGGCAGCAGTGGCAATCAGCCAACACCATGCCGAATAGCAGCTTTGCAAGGCATTCGTGTACAGCGGGTATGTGTGTGATGCTCCATGTCAAACCCTTTATGAATAACTGAAAATATGCTAAGGCATATTATACATTTATCTCTTTGTTTAAAGTGCCATTTATCAGAATGAAAACATGTATCTTAAAATGGACCTCTGTCAGTAGGCGAGAAACTGTGACCCTGTGGAGTTCAGTGCAATTTAGCCATTGACTTCAGTGAGGTCAGGAGTGTACTTAAAGAGTACTAGGGCATTAGAAATGTTTGGTCTTTTTTTTCCTGTGAAACTTAATTAAAAAAAAAAATCCTGTTATTTTAGTAAATAAGAAAGTCGTCTTAGGCTACCCCATTCTGCATTAACCCCTGTCGTCTTTTCTGGGAAAATACTGCAGTTTAGCATTTTGTCTTTCTGGCAGACTGAGTATCACTTTTAGAATTGCAGTTCAGACACAGTGACTAACTGGTGTTTGGAGTCTGAACAAATTGTCTCCAACTGCTTGTGGTCAGCAGTTGGTATGATTCCATGGTTGGTCTTATTCCTGGGTGGTTATTACACTTTACCAAATAACTGGGCTGCCATCAGTGTAACTAGCAAACTGATAACGTCTTTTGACTGATAAGAAATATTTAAAGTAACTGCAGAACTGATACTGAAAGTTTTTAGTTGATTTATCCAAAACAGAGGATACTGTCAGGAAAATGACACATTCTGCTAGAAAACATTAGTTTTGTAATCTAGTGAAAATTTACAAGAGCGTTTTGAACTTTGGATCCTATTTATTACATTTACTCAGGGAAGTTCTGGATTTTTAAAATCTTTTAAAATAAACTCATTTAATTACATAGTTTTACATTCAGTTTCTAGGATGGAGACAGTAGCTTGGCTGGTAACAATTACTGTTGGAGAATTACGTAATAACGTGAATATTATTTTCCCCTGTATTTATTCTCCTATTTAGAGAGTATGAGTGCTCCAGTAAGTTTGACTTGGGTCCTATTTCCATCCACTTCATTTGCTTGATATCGATTAATACCAAGTTGTAGACCTCCAATCAGTAAATAACTTAAGGATTTTTTTCATTTAAAGCACATCACATGTTCATGGATGGCAGTGGACTACATGTACTTACGGTATATCTGCTTTGCAGATTATATATATAAGGATACATGAGCTCGATTTGAACATTGTAAATTGGTTACTGGTAGCCATCTAGCTATAATAGGTTACATTAACTCATGCAGAGCAAGGCTGTTGCTGGTAATTTTGCCACTGTCTATCTGTATGTGGGGCATGTGCTGCGTGTATAGATTGTAAAGTGGGTATTCAAGCACCCTTATGCGGAGTACCTGAGGAGCAGCTCAGCAGGACCGAGTGGGTTTCCACGAGAGGGTATGAGCTGATGCAGTTGTGTGCTGCCATCAAGTTGGAGAGTTTCATCTCTTCCCTCTCTTTCCTGGCTGGCTGCTCCTGTTGCTTACCTTGTGTGGGCACTGGTGGTCCTCAGGCCCAGCTGTGGAGAGTTTCCTTCCACTGGTGTAAGTTATCTCAGCAGAGGGTCCGGTGAGCACTAGAACTGGCACAGGGAGGGGACAGTTTTGTGTGGCTGGCAGTTGGGGAGGAGAGGAGCAGATAGGGAGACCTCGCCTGTTTTTACAGTGGTAAGCTATTCACGTTGGAGTAGTTGCCCATAGAGCAAGGTCAGTAAAAGACGATCTGCCTTTTTCTGCGTTTTTTTCTGCACACTGTTGATATTTGTCATACAGCTTTCCTTCTTTCTTAATTTCTAGCTCTTCTTTTGCTGTACTCTTCAGATTATCTGGCAGGGTTCCTCACTTATACGTTTTTTCCTCAAAGTCACCTCATCTACTTTGCTTCCCTTTTTAATAAACTTATCTGTATTTGTAATTTTTACACTGGTATGGAATCAGTAACATTAACATATAGCATAACGTGTATTTGTCTGTATTGACTTACTGTTACATAAAAATGAGATTTTTCTTTTTCTTATTCCTTATAGGTTGCCTGTGGCTATGCACATACATTAGTGCTAACAGATGAAGGTCAGATTTATGCGTGGGGAGCCAATTCATATGGCCAGTTAGGTACTGGGAATAAAAGTAACCAGTCTTACCCTACAACAGTTACTGTGGATAAGGACAGGTAATACTTACAGTCTAGCAGTCAGACATTAGGTGGCATACTCTCAGAAGAGCTACAGAAAATTATGGCATTTTTAATCTATTTTTTTGAAGAAATAGCCTATAATTTTTTGCAATGGTTCTTCTGCTAAATGTGAACAGAATTTTCACTGAAAGTGCTTGAATCTGCCCCATAACCATCCTTGTGAAAGAGAAACTGAATGTTCTGAATAGCCCAAATGTGCTACTTTCTGCTTTGGCTCACACTGTATTTTATAAGCCTTAATTGCAGTTTCTCTTCAGTGGTGTAGTTTCAGTGTTTGAAGTCAATGATAAAAGCTTCATTGTGTCTGAATATAAACTGTATTTTAATAAGCTACTTTTGACAAGAAGTACACACAGAAAAAGTGGAGAGTGGACATCTGCAACTTGTGTTATTTCTGCTGTTAAATCCGGCTCATAACCCAGGAGAGAGAGAAAGGGAAGAGTTCTTGCCTGAAAATTAAGCTTAGATTTTTACAAGTTAAATATTTTCCTGTAAGTCCTTGATGAGTAGTGGGGCAGTTATTTCTATTGCTAGTGTAAAGCCATGTATATATGTGGCCAGAAATTTGAATCTATTCCTTACTACTGAGGTCTTGATTTTGGCCTCCTAAAGTGAGATGTCCCTCTTAAACTTGCGTCTGTGTACATTATTGTAAGGAAGAGACAACAACTCTCTGGTGATGAGACATGGCCTCTTTTTGAACGTTGCTATTTCTTCATGTGTGTTTGTGCTTTTGCTTAAAATGTAACTGAATTTTTTCCAGATGCTTTGGCTGCAGTTAAAATGTTACCACATTTTAATACAAATTTTAATGTTTTATGCTGCCTTTCCCTTTTGTTGGCCAGAATATGCATTCCTGATGTCAGTGAGAATATTACCTCACTGAAGCCTGCAAGATTTGTACATACAGCTTTAAACAAGTTGTTTCCCAGCTATTTTCCCCAGGCAGCTGGGAAAACAAGTAAACAAGCAGTAGTTCAGACTGCAAAGCAGTGGATTGTGTAATGTACACAGTGGGAGTTTTGAAATCCTAAATCAACTTTAGTATTGGTGAGATAGCCTAACATAGCTAAAATAAACTTAGAAAAACCTTTTAGTGCTATTTGGTTCTAATTTTTAATTTTCAAAATGAAAGTCCGTTAAACGTAAGTAATAATAATTGTATGAGTAATGACACTTCAGTATTTTAATTAAAAGAAGTATGTTTAAATTGTTGGTTTAAAACTGTTAGCAATAAGTAAGCAGGAAAAACGGTTTTTTTTTTGTTGGTTGGTTTTTTTTTTAAATTTTTTTGGAAACACCTTCTCATTTCTTTCTTCATCTTCTCCAAGTACCCCTTCTCTACAGCTTAATGCAGCCACTCACCTCACTGCCCAGCACCACTGAGGACATTCAGAGGCTTGAAACTCATCATAGCTTTGTTTGAGGGAGCCAAGGGGGTCAGTAGAGCATGTGCGGCAGCAGATACACTGCTCTGCTGCAGCAGTGTCTCCTCACTCCCAAGATGCTTTTTTACTGAGAAACTTTCTGAGTGCACACTATTTGAAGAAACATTGATAGCCCTTTTAATTTTGTTATGTATGATAGGAAAACATTCTTGCAATTGGAAGTGCATGCATGCTTACAAATACGTTTTGCACCAGAGAAAGACAGGAGGTAGTGAGCTTCTTCACTGCATTTTGTTCTAATGAGAGTGACTTGCGTTCTTCCTTTGCTTGTAAATTCAGAGTTATAGAGATTGCAGCCTGCCACTCTGCTCACACGTCGGCTGCCAAGACCCAGAGCGGCCAGGTGTACATGTGGGGCCAATGCCGTGGGCAGTCAGGGATCCTTCCCCACCTCACTCCCTTTGCCTGCACTGACGATGTGTTTGCTTGCTTTGCTACCCCTGCCGTTATGTGGCGTCTTCTATCAGTAGGTGAGCTTAAATATTTTTTGTTTTGACATCTTCTAAATAGAATCATTAGTGCATAAAACAGTTGCATGTATTTGAAGCCTAAACTTAGTTTCTTGCAAAAATTTATACTGGGAAGCATAATCATAATCATGTATTACATATGTGTAAATGGTAATATGGAATTGTAAAAAATTGCTAAGGCCTAATGGCAATGCTAAATGATTGTCTGTTTCATTGACGTGATTTATTTCTGTGGGGAAATGCCTTGGGTTTGGGAAGGGGTTTTTTTGTGTAAACACTGAATGTTACTGTACAGTGGCCATGGGTGGAGAAGCTGAGTTTGAATTTGGAGACATGAGGGAACCATGCAGAACATTTAGGAATCCAAAGCTTTCTTTGATGTCCTTAAGTAGACTACTAAGAATGAGGGAGCCAAATTCCCATGTTCAGAATTGGCCACAGGCACTTAGAGTCTCATCAGAAGTGATCATGACTGGGCTTCTGAAGAGACAAGTTGCTGGATCTCAGGTATTTGATTAACACTAAGGTCTGTCTTGCTGATCTTGACTAGAAAGAGTTAAGCATATAGGATTGTTTAACAGAGAGTTCATTGTTCAGCTACAAATTCAATCCCATATTGGTTGCTAATAAAGTTACTGGCTTTGCTGACCTAATCAAAGATTAGATTTTTGGGGTTGTCTGTAGGTGTCATCTGGGAGCTTAAGTTAAAAGCTAGAATGCAGCAACTTCTTAATTTGTAATTTGAACTGTATTGAGTCCCTCATGCTTCCATTCCACTTCTGTACTGCCTTTGTAATTGCTTTTGTGTTGCTGTATGCTTTTGTCTGACTCTTTGCTCCGTTGGTGCCTTCTGGATGCCAAGGTAAGGAAATTATGTTAATAGTACTCATATTTCAGCTGTGAGAGACTAGGGGATTAAATGGAGAATCCTGTTCTCAGGAAACTGCTTTGCCAAAATTCATGTTTTAGGCCACAGTCCAAAGACCCCCATTTGCTCTAGGTTGAGGCAGTTGTGCTTTCTAGGGTGGCTTGTTCAGAACTGTAAGATATATGCTTAATTACTGTGGAAATTCGTAATATTCTTAGTATTTGCCTACTACTTATTAGATGTAAATTAGATGTACTGCACTAAAATCCCAGGCAATGGGGTGGTTCATTCCATGTAAATATATATTTGTCAGTTGTAAGTTCTACATAAAAGTATCTGTAGTTATGTTCAGATTTTTCTTCCATAAGAATTGGTTATTTTATGAAGGAAATGGGACATTATTAGTATATGTAGCTTAATTACAAATTCAGTTATATGTATCTTCTTATGTACATTAGCAGGGTTCTGGGGCTCTTCAGCTTCCATTTCTTCTTGCTCGGTTAAAATATTATTTCATGCTATCAGAATTTCCCCTCCACTTTCTCTCTCGCCTTTTCTTCTCAGTTTACTGCAGAGTATTCAGGAATTTTTCAGAGAGTGGAGGAAGGCAAGAAGCAAAAACCGCCTCTTTCTTTATTTTGTTCCTCACGGAGAAGACAACTGCTTGAGTGAGACTGAAACTGTCTGTTTCAGTTTTTCAGTGCTCCTTTCTGCAAATTCACCCTCTCCTACCTTCTTTTACAAATGCTGTTTTAGGTCAGAAATGCTGTTTTACATTAGCTAAAAGAGTCCTGAGTAGGATTATGTATGATCATTCATGTAATTATCACCTTTATGCTGAAGACTTTCAAGTAACCCATTTATTAATAAGCATATTGCTCATTAATACTCGTAGATATTCACTGTCTTTAACACAGCATCATTAAGACTACATTCATAACTATTTCCCAACACATCTTTTAGTTAGGTGACCATGTGCTGGTTTCAGATGAGCCTTTTTGCCTGCTCTAGGAGCTGAGAGTGACTGGTCTGTCCATCGTGTCCCACCTTGGCGAGTCATTGGGACTGACTCACTGTTGTTTGTCTCCTGATCTAAGTGTAGTGACAATCATCAGGCAGCTGCGTCCTAAGATCTTAACGTCTAGTGAACTAGGTGCCATGGATAGCTGCCATGCTTACAGCCCTTTTCCGTCTATTGTATTCTGGTGCTTCAACACCCAGGCATTCCCTTGCATTCCCCATTCGTGGCAGTTCTAACATTTCTATTACAATTCTTAGCACTGACTGGTAAGGAGTTTTCTTGGCTTTGTGCCTTGTCAGTGTGAACTGCCTCTTCATTTCCTTCCTCTGGTTGCCCCTTCATTGCTGTAACAAATAAAAGCACGTATTTTCCCTCTAAGAAGTTCATCACTGAACCCCACTATATTCAGCTTACCTTTGCTGGCTGCAGAAGTTCATCTGGAGATGCATATTGATGGACATCTGAATTGCCAGGTAACTTTGAAGATAGGCTTCACAACAGGATAGTGCAGGATCCTTCGAACTATTACAGTAGAGCTTCAGCTTTGCATTGGTTGTTAAAATTACTATACTTATTCGGATAGCAGATGTCTGAATAAATAAACCACATTGTACAAAACAAGAACTAACAAAGTATTTTACAGTATCATTATTTCAGAAGGATTTTTTATTATCATTACATTGGCTTCCCCTCTGCCCCCACTATCCTTTTACCTGTAATCCAATGTACTTCGATAATTATTGCCCTAATTGGGCATACCTGAACATAAGTGACATCCTCTAAATGAAATGGAAAATAATTGTGCTAAACAAGGTGTAACAGTATCAAACTGTGTGTGTTAAGTTTTTTCTAGAGTTTGTGGTGAAGGTCGTTCCATTTCCAGCAGATTACTATTCTTATTTCTAGCTTGGTAGGTTACAGGTCTTAGCATTTATGAATTTTCTGTAGAGAACAGCTTATTACTGACCCACAAAATTTGTCTAAACCAATAATGTGTATTTATATGGTAAGAAGACAAAATGTTTTCTGCATTAAGAATGAGGTTTTGCGGGTTTAATTTTTTAGTAGTATTAAAGAAGATAGTTCTCTGAGGCTACCAAATACGATGGAGATTTGGAAACAGTTCAGGAGATAAAAATTTGTATGCAGACCATGCGTGACTTTTCAAGGCTGTCTGGTAACTTTATAATGCAAGTGTCACGTGCACAGTACATACAATATGACACAAACAGGAATATGCAGACATTCACACAAAGAGTGCTTCTAACACCATAAGTCTAGGGAAAACACTTTTTGAATAGACTTGTAACTGTTGGTATTCATCTTTAGGGATATTGTACTGGGTAGTTTCACTGCAACCAGTATGTTGGTTATATAATAGCTTTATTTCTCCTCATGGGAGTATTCTAGAAAGTCTTACTGTGATTTTTTTGTTGACCTTTTGGGTATCTTAAAATAACTAACACTTTTCATTTAGAATAATTTACCCAGTAATGACTGATAGCATTTGCTATCAGATGCAGCATTGAATTTCTGAGACTATGTTAATTTTTTTTTTCTTGCCTTATATAGATGAGTTAGAAGAGTGGGACTTATTTTTTTTAATAGGGATATTTGTTTGGAGTAGGAAACTAGTAAGGTCTAAAGAAAGCTGCCCTTTATTTGCTTTTCTGGGGGTTCATACTGAACACATAGTTTGCTGGGTTTTTTTACTAGCCTTAAAGAGATGTCGTGTTTATTAAGAGTGTTAATTGCTGACAGATACCCGGAATGTTATCAAGAGAGATATTTGTATTACTTACTACTTACTATTAATTCCTTTTTTTATTCTAGAGCCTGATGACCATCTAACAGTAGCCCAGTCACTAAAGAAGGAATTTGACAACCCTGAAACTGCAGACCTGAAGTTTCTAGTGGATGGAAAATACATTCATGTTCATAAAGTTCTTCTCAAAATTAGGTAAGGCACAAACTGTGTAGTTTAATATTAACTAAACTGTATAGTGTAGTCCACTGTGCTGAGTAATTACTGCTCAAAATTCTTGACTTAGTCTTACAAACTCCCTTTTCTCTCAACCATGGGATTCACCTGCTATTCTTTATTGTTACTCTCTTTTCCTCATTTCCTCGCTGCTTGGAATTACCAAACATGCTGCTTACTACCAGCCTTTTCATCACTTTCCTCCATCTGACCTATATCCTCCTTCATGCCGCCTAAACAGCCTTGACCCTGATTTCTAATAACCTTTTCCTGCTG